TCCATGCCATCACAGCAGACTCTTCTTCCTCCTCCTCCTCCTCCTCCTCCTCCTCCTCCTCCTCCTCCTCATCTTCCTCCTCCAGTCAGCAGAGCCTCTGATTGGTCTGCTGGAAGTCAGGGGGCGTAGCAAGGACTTGATTGACAGCTAGCTGTCCTCTGGCGGTGTTATACTTGTGATTGGGGCGTTGTCACTCAGAAGTGCTGGAGTGAGTGGCAGGTCACCGTTCAGGATGAGGCTGACTCTGCTGCTCCACAGCACCCCCTCCTGTTCCCAGACGGTGGAGTAGCTCTCATGGAGCCTCAACACCTGCGTTGTTCTCCGTCTGGTGTTCCTGTTTCAGAGTGCCTTGAGTTTGAAAGCTGCTGTGGGCAGAGCATCGCCACGGTAACCCAACTACACATCAGGAGTGGAGGTGTGGATAGTTCTTCAGAGGTTTCTTTAGTTAAGTTCTAACCCAAAGAATCCTTGTAGTGAAATCACAGAGGAACCCAGCCAGGTTCTTTTCATAAAACACATGTCTGTTTTAGTATCAGTGAAATGTTATAATGGTCTGTAGGGCTGCTATTACTTTTATTTGCTATTTTATTATTTTCATTTTTTGATCAGTTTCCCAATTATTGTTTATTCATTGTTTAGTGAATGATAAGGAAGTGCCTTGAGTTCACCAGAGAAAAGAAAATGTCCCTTATTGTTAAAAAGATCTCATAATTGCTGATCAGTGGTGGTATGATAACTATGGTTGTCATGGTTATCAGTCATCGCTGTTTGAGAAGACAGAGGCACGGTGGAGCTGCCTGATTTAATTAGCTTTTATTTTCTCCTCTGTTTGAGACACTGGGAGATGTAAATGTCACTGAGTAATGTGGATGGTATTATTACTATGTCAACATTGCAGAGGCATCCAAAGTCCAGCGAAACCAGTACATAATGCATCAAAGCTGGCTTTCACCGAATTCTGTCAGCCATCAGATTCTATGACCTGAATAGAAATTTCTGCTGTAAACATTATCATACTTTTATTTTGATAGGTATTGTAGGCCTATTGACAAAAATGTTTTCCACGTAGTATTCTGACCATATGATAGTTTTTAACCAAAAATGGTCACCCTACATATTCTGGTAGTACATACGAAACCATTGTGTAGGTCTGTAGAGCACGAACACCTCGTCCCACAATATTTGGTCAGCTCTTTTTCATAAAGCTGATTTTCTAGTCACAAATTTCAGTACACCAAGATCACAGATGTCAACATAAGGCAACACCATGTTTGTTTGGTAACGGCAATCAAAATAAAACATGCAATAAAGTATGATTTTAAAAAAAAAAAAACAGTATAGAGTAAGCATGTAAGAAATCTAGCTGAAAATCCGGTCACAGAATATGGTGTAACACCTGTTATCTCGAGATTATGAGATAGTAAGTCGTAATTACAAGATATGGAAGTCCTTTTTCTTTGGTGAATTCAATCTGTACCATAAGATCAGAAAACACTGATGTACGTCCATCCCATTTCCCAGAGTCCAAGGTGGCGTCTTTACACATCAGATTTTTGTTTGACCAACAGTCTATATTCAGTTTACAGCGGCACAAGACAGAGAAAAGCAGTTTTTTTTGATTGAAAGATAACTTAACATAACATATTAAGCAACATTTTAAAGAGTAAGACATAACACTTGTGTAAATGGGTATTTAGTAATGTTGTTGGTTGATTCAGGTCCAGATCTTGACATTTTAGTGTACTGTATTTGAATCCTGCGTTCTGTGCTATAGATATGCATAGTGAGTAAGAGGAGTTTAGTTACACTTTATAGAATGTTTTCCTGTCCTCTGAGAAACCAAACTCCACATGGAAACACGTCCCACGCGCCCTTTGATGTCAGCAAAGGTTCCTCATCTGCTGACATGGTGGGATACATGAAAGTTGACAAACGCACACACACACACCTCTGGAGAACTGGAACCGGTTCAGGACACCAGACTGGAGTCTCAGTTCTGATACCAAAACGTGACTAGTTGATACTTTACTCTGCTGAGTATAAACGTTTTCTTTTACAACAAACAAACCTGTCACATCCTTTGTGTTTACTTTTGTCTGAACACAAACTGAACAAAACTATTTAAATCAGGAAATGTATGGTTTAAGAAGTAAGTCTGTCCTTGCTGGTGCGATATTTGAGTTTCTGTATTAATGCCACGATGATTAATGACATCCATTGTTTTCAATACAACAGTTGTTTTTGCATTCAGTCAGTTCTCACACAGCACTGAGGTACAGTCAGTCCTGCCTCAATCCCCGAGTGTATAATGCACAGTCAATGCAATGTTTAGTTTTGTATATTGAACAGGTGTGTGTGTATATGTACATTTTTTTGTTTTATTTATTTAGTAAAGAGACATTCCACATCCTGTGGTTATTTATTTAGGTTGTCTCCTGTCTAACTTGTCTAAAATGGTTTTGTCTTTTGTAAGAATATTTTTGGGGGGTGGGGTTAGGGTATCATCAGGTTTAGGATTGAGTTTTCTCACATCAGGTTTAAGAGTTATAACTATTTTTTTTTCATTCCGTTTGTTTTTGGTTTCAAAATATAAAATTCTGAGCAGAAAATAAATATTTTTTCACAATTTTTTTTCAGATTAAACCTTTTGTATATAAACTGATTTTCTGTGTGTTGTGTTGGCTCCTTTCAGTCTCACTAACCTTCCTCTGTAGTAACCACATAACTTTAGAAATAGCCTCAGATTTACGTCATTTTCTATTTAATTATTGTGAAACTTCCTTTCCTTCGATTCAGATGATTAATAGAATACATTGATTTTACATTATTATAAGACCGGCTTGAACAACCACTTACTCTGTGAACATTTTATTAATAATATTACTTGATTTATTTCTCATTTAAGGAAACAAATGATTCAGTCGATCCATCAATTAAATTTAGAAAAATAATTAAGTACTTTAAATTGTTGCTATGAAGATAACCAGTCTGTTTATGTGTAATAAACTTCGGCTAAATAACCACCATGACATAACCATTTAATAATCCTGTGAACAGTGCACAAAATGGGTAGAACACTCCCTTAATCAACACTTCTGAGAATCAACGAATGAATCCCTTAAAGGTCCATAACACTAACCTCACTTTAAAAAAATTAATTTTCAATGTTTATATAATGGAAAAATAACACAAGAATTATTATCTTCTGGTTCATAGTGTTCAAATAAGTGGCATTAAAACCAAATTTAAAAAAAACAAATTACATTTGTATGTCCTCTAATAAAATCCCATTTTCAGTATGAGCTTTTTTAAGTTATTATTTATTATTTATTCATAGTTTTACAACACAGTATGACGAAGTTAAGTTAGCTACTACTACTTTATGCTACAAAAAAAAACAAATATAAATAATACAGTGGATGGGTGAATAAATAATAAGTCTTAAAGGAAATTAAATATTTTCTTTTGTTTCTTCTTTCATGGAGTAAAATAAAAATGTATTTTTCCTCTGACACATGAATTGACATTATTTTAGTCGTTGTAGAAAGCAGTTTGATGTGTCTGCAGAGACACCGTGTGGCCGCTGCTGAGAAGACAGAAACACGGAAACACTGGAAAGTGAAAGGAAAAACACTAAAATACAATTTCAAAATAATTTAAATATAGGTTATTGGTTAAGATTTGATGTCCTTTTTATATATTGTTTTGTCTTTTTTGGATTATCGCATTGCCTATGATGTTTATGACGTGTGCAATTACGTTAGAAATACGGTTAAGTGTAGAGACCGAAATCATTGTTTGAAATACATATTCAATTATAAGTATTATTTAAACGTCTGAATATTTAATCTTTTAGCACAGATGGTGGGTTTGGGGGGGCATCCTGTTCCTGCTCATTTTGAACAGGCGCTTCAGGGACAGCTATCGACAGGGGTCCTTCCATCGTCAACACCGGAACAGCACGTGAACAGTATGTGAAACAGACTGTAAACGGTGTAAATTGTTCATCAACTCTGTTTAAATGAGATATTGTGTTAGTATTTTACATGTATTGTTTAGTATACTGTGTATATATTTAACCGAGAGACATACGCTGACCTAACATGAGATAATAAGCTCAGACAGCAATGAAATAAGCCGTTTCTTGCGCACCTCGCGTCAAACTCCGTTTAAAAAGCCTATTTGATCATTTTAACCGGTCTGCAGCACGATAACAGTGCTCATTAAATTATAACTAAATATGTTTTAGACACATTTAGAGACATTCTTAAATTCGGCTAACAAAAAATAAACCAAACACCACTCATTGTCACATAAGGTTTATATGAAGAGTTCATTCTGACATTCGTTTATGACGGTGTAATTTGGTTGATGCTTTAAATATATTTTGCAGTGTTGGAACTAGTATTTGCATTCACTGAGAAACAAAAATGAGAATAAAATGAGTTAAAATAGTCAATGAGGAAGCAGTATAAATGTGGCTTGTGCGTGTGTGTTTCCATCAGAGGGGTCAGGATGGGTCGCTCCTCCAAAGACAAGAGGGACATTTACTACCGTCTGGCCAAAGAAGAGGGCTGGAGAGCGAGGAGCGCCTTCAAGCTGCTGCAGCTTGACCACGAGTTCAGTCTGTTCACAGGTGAGAGCAACCGGAGACACGTCTCTGTTCACACCTTCTGTCCATCCATGGGGGGATAATTAGAGGATGGGCATCAGACACCTAACAGGTCCCCTACCTACCTTGTTCTTATGTATTTTAATAAATGCCTGATTTGGTAAAAATTATTTTACTCTCTCTTTCTCTCTCTCTCTCTCAGGTGTGAACAGAGCAGTGGATCTGTGTGCAGCTCCTGGCAGCTGGAGTCAGGTGCTCAGTCGGAAACTCAGGTTTTGCTTTTTTTGTGTTTTTTATTTTTAAATGAACATAATATACCAACCTGGACAGAAATCCTCTATGTGGCTACAATTTAATCGTATTTTCATAAAACAATAAAATAAAATATTTTAAATCCAGAGTTATAGAGATGTTTTCCTGTGGGGTGCAGATCATTTCAGTTAGACCTTCATTGTTTTGTTTTTTGCACTCAGAGGGCAGGAGGAGAAAGGTGAGGGGGCTGAGGAGGTGAAGATTGTGGCGGTGGACCTGCAGGCAATGGCTCCTCTGCCAGGAGTCACTCAGATCCAGGGAGACATCACCAAGGTGAGGACATGATGAATAAACTCTAATCACTCTGCTCCCAAACAGATGATAAAAATAATATAGTCGTCCTGCCGTTGCCTTTTCAATGACGTATATCTGGAACTTTGTTGTTCGTTAAACACACTTGAAACACAAGACGTGCAGCGGGGAGAAACATGACCTGCGTCTTCTTCCTTTCAGGTGTCGACCGCTCAGGAGATAATCCGTCACTTTGAGGGTCAGCCGGCGGATCTGGTAGTGTGTGACGGAGCTCCAGATGGTGAGATGCTCACTTCCTGCCTGTCAAGTCTCTCCCATCTCCCTTTTGAAAGTTTTTATTCAGTTTATTTATTTTTTGTTCTGTCTTCATAGTAACCGGGCTCCATGATGTGGATGAGTACATCCAGGCTCAGCTCCTATTGGCTGTAAGTACAGAGTTGTCTTTTTACTCACCTGTCGGTCTGTGATGTCATGCTGACAGCTGTTTGTGTCTCAGGCTCTGAACATCACAACTCACGTCCTGAAACCTGGAGGGACTTTTGTGGCCAAGGTGAGTCTTAACTTTTCTTCATATGATTTATATATAATGCACTTAATTAATTCATTCTGTGTGTGTGTGTTTTTATAAATATGTGTGTATATATGTTTATGCCTTTTACGTTTGTGACTTTGGTAGTGTTCACGAGATCACAACACAGAGGTTATGTGCCAAACTATTTCTTGGCCAGGACGTTCCTGGCGTCTCCACTGGTTGCCTAGCAACTGCTGGCAGAATTTCAAAACCATAATCACTGGCCTGAAAACTCATCCTGTTACTGGATAACTAGTACAGTGTAAATAGTTGCTGTGTGCCATGTACACTGTCAAATCCGACTGTATTAACCCCTTCCTGTCCTGTGTGTCTCAGATCTTCAGAGGTAAAGACGTGACTCTGCTGTACTCTCAGCTGAAGATCTTCTTCAGTGGTGTGACCTGCGCCAAGCCTCGCAGCAGCAGGAACTCCAGCATCGGTGAGTCACCAATCACGCAGCTCAAACAGAAGATGAACCCCACCCCCAGCTCATGTAGTGATCAATTGTACAGTACATTCTAAACTGTGCTACTATGGGCTACAGTCCCAGAATTGAAGAAGTAGAAGTAATAAAATCAGAATGTTTGACAAAATAATCTCAAACCTCTCAAAGAAATTTAGAGACCGGATTTCTAGTCATTGCAAACCCTGGAAAGTGATTAAAATGACCAGATATCCTGGAAATAATACATGTTGTCTTGGACATTTTAAATTGTAGTTTAGCCCTTCACTCAGATTACGTAAACCTAGGTACATACTTCAAAGTAGGTTTACCAGACGAGGAAGGTAAAAATGCATTTCAAATTCATTTCCATTTGAACCCATTGTGTTTGCATAAACTCTGTTGACATATTACATTTGTCTGTGTGCAGAGGCCTTTGTGGTGTGTCAGAATTACTCTCCTCCTGACGGCTACGTCCCCAACATGTCCAACCCTCTGCTGGATCATTCCTATGGTAACTAGGAGCCCTTTTCCATATGTGGTCTGTGTCTGAATATCTGATCTGGATCAAGTAATGCAGGTACAGATTATAATCACAGTGCCACTGGATCATCCAGACCGAATCTGGAGGTGGTGTAAGATAGAAACATTATTGCTTCTTATTACTAGAGACACACCTTGTTGGTGAGGAGTCATTTGCATATTGGTATCTGATCATAATGGTGTTTTTATAATACAATGGTGGTGCTGTTTAATTTTGAGTAATCGTAACTGTTTCAGTATCATAACTCCAATTTGGATCATTCTTTTATTTCCCTGCATGTCCTAGTTCTCCTCTGTCTGTCCTCAGTCTGTGTTCTGGTCTCTGTCCTTCAGATGTGGACTTTAACCAGTTAGAGGGTCCGAACCGTGTCATCGTTCCCTTCCTAGCATGTGGGGATCTCAGTGCCTTCGACTCAGACAGAACTTACCCTCTGCAGGTGAGGAAATGCAAGCTTATCCTCCTAGTCATTTTCATTGTTTTTTACAGTTGTGGTTATCATATTTATTTTCACTGTGAAATTGAGTCTTTGAAATTGAAACTATTTTTAGCTATGAGCAAGCTAACTTAGACACATTTCTATCAAAAATAAAGTGAATCCACTGGGTCTTCACTTCCTCAGATAGTGGGAGTAGATGAAGTTTGTGTTGGTTCCCACAACAGAGAAACTGGCGTTCTTTGTTCGTAGCTTTCACATCTTTTTGTTAGCGGAATCACATTACAGAGGAAACAATGGCAGACAGCCAGGTAGATTCACTGGGTTTCAGTCAGCGGGGCTGGACTCTCACCTAGCCTATAGGTGGTGCTGTGTTTCTCTATGATGTCATAGAAAAACGGAAGAAAAGGCTGAATACAAACGAGAAGTTTCAAGCACTGCAGGAGCAGTGTTTTCTATTGGAGTAATTCCTTTTGTTGTGGAGTTTTGGTCACTTTTTAGACCTTTTACATGCACAAAATATCTGTACAACACACTAAAGCAAAAAGTGTAATATGGCCCCTTTTAATGGGTTTGTTGAATATTTCTAACTAATGTGTGGATGAAGGGGAAAGTCATGTACCATAATTTATTAATTAAGGTGATTTAAGGTTAATTAAGGACAAATTAAAGGCTCTCTGGTTACCAAACACCTGGGTATTTTAGGGATTCTTGTTTCAGAGTGATGCATGTAGTTCAATATTTTTCTTTTCTTCACAAACACAATCTCACACTTGCTTTCCATGTTTCTCACTGTTTTCCTTCTTCAGCTGGATGCTGGTAAACAGTATCAGTACACTCCCCCCACCCAGCCGCCCATACGCCCCCCCTATCAACAGGCCTGCCACCTCCGCAAAAACAACCTGCTGTCCAGAGAGGACGCTCTGTCCAACTGTCCCAACCAGAGTCAAGACGAAACTGAACCACCAGCTGAGTCCACCTGATCCGTCTGACTGCTGCTGATTGGTGGAAAAATAAACAGCAGGAGAAAGAGGACCCAGTTATCATTAAAGGACCGGCATTTTGGGAAAGTCTCTTCTGTGTCATGAGAAGATGGATATCCTTTTCATTGCATCCAGTACAGAGATAGGACCAGGACATGTTTAGCCTACTGGATGTTTTTCCAATCGGGGGAGTATGTTTTTATTGTTTTGCCTGATTTTATCTGGAGTATTTTGTGACAGATCCTTCCTCCATCAGTCCGAAGAAGTGTAAACATATTTTAAAAGTCATTTCTTGAAGGCGAACCAGCACTGTGGTTTACATGAACTGTAAGAGTCGTTAAACTCTGAATTGTGTTTTTGTACACAACATCAAGTTGTAAGGAAGTCTCACTATAAACCCCCTCATTGTGCTGCCATCTAGTGTTTATTGCTGCTCTCTTTGGCTCGTGAGTTACCGGTAGCTTAGTGGATTTGGAGCTATTGACGATTTTTAAGTTCTCTTTCCTACAAAGATTTACCTGCCTGGAATTTAAACATTAAAGGTGACTTTAAAATAAAGCTTGTAAAGAGTTATTTTTATCCTATCAAATCCCTTTACCAGGTGTTCCATTTACCTTCTACGAACAACTCTATAACATCTTTACAGGTTTTTATGTCATTTATATACTCTCATATTTCATATGGGATTACCATAGTGAATAGATGTTATCACAATATTTCATTTTAATGATTTTGAAATGTCATTTATTGTCCTAAATAGTGCTCCTACTGTAAACCCCATAGATACAGAAACCCACCCACCCAAAGGCCGTGGCGACTTCCTGGTTTCCTTTGTACGCGGTGACGTCACGGCGCACAGGCTCACACAACCGCATTGTTGTTGGGGGAAGAGAAGCTCGGGCAGTTGCTGAGCTCTGCCACTTCCAACTGCTCACAAACAGTCCTATCGATCAGTGTTTACCCTGATCACAGTGTCACACCAGGACCCGGCTCCGTCGCCCTGGATACCTGTCGGTTACTTTCAAGTTTAACCGGGTTCAGCGCGAGCCGCGGCCGCCGTTGGGTGAGCGGACTGGATGTGGATTTAACTGTCGCTTCGCTCCGGAGGCCGCGCCGCCATTGCTGCTGTTTTTATAAGCTCAATTCGTGAAAATACCAAGGTAAGTTCAGCCTCTGTCTGCCCTCGCCTCTTTAATATCAGCCCCTACTTTCTGGAGCGGTTTGAATTCAAAACCAATCCGCGCTGCTCTGGGGAAAAGCCACCTTTTCCAATCGAGGCAGTTTCTTGTGTTGGTTGCCATATTTCCTCCCCCCTCACTTAGGTGTAATGCTAGCAGGCTAACGTTAGCCCGGTTTGTGGACGGAGTGTCCTAATGCGTTTAACCGGCGACCAAAGAGGCCGCCGCGACAAAGGAGGACACCCCCGGACGGTGTGTTTCCCGGGGCAGAGCTGTGTTTGATTCCTAACAGTGGATCAGGCCGATCGATGCCACAGATCAACGTTACGGTTCGGCTGAGAGGAGCTAACGCTAGCCGTCGCTAGCAGCCTCCGTTCAACACAGTCAGAGACAAACTGGACGCGGTGAAGCTGCAGCTGCTGTGAGCCGACCATACTCAACAACGACCAGCTCTCAGCGGCTTCCGTCGGGCTGGCTGAGCCGCTGGTAGGCTCGCTGTAGTCGGTGCAGAGGTGTGCTGCCTTATCCTTCATTCATCCAGTGGACGTTATCGCACCGGGCTGTTTCCGCCCCCTGTACTGACTGCAGCCAGCGGGTGAAGCGTGTTGATCTCACACATTAAAGCTGCACTGACAGACACTGGGGCTGCAGCTTTAAAGCCACTAGCTGTCCCATGTGTGCCTGGGAGGAGAGTGCAATTGTAGTTGCATCCTGTTTCTAGTTTTAGTTGCACCACATCGGATCGGAATCAACTTTATTGGCCAAGTATGTTGACACTTAGCAGGAATTTGTTTCCAGCAGCAGCTCTCACTATACCGTGAGAGGAAGTGTGATGTTACTACAGGATACATCAATGATTTGTGTGAAATTGTTAATTAGTAACGTTTTAAAACGTAGATTAACTGTTTGAATTGTTTTCTAAGCAAAAAGCTTTGACATTATTTAGGTTGGGGACCAGCAGATATTGGCTGGTAGCATTTCTACTATGTGCTGACATTTTATAAATCTAAGGAGTAATCAGTTAATCAAGAAAATAATCAATCATTTAATGTAATAAAGAAATAGTTGCAGATCTGGTGGGATTCGGCTCTGGTTTTCAGTAACTGTCACTGTTTTTATAGTGGGTGTAGAGAACAAATGTACAGGAGGATACAGATAAAGACCAACATAT